GGGGGGGGGAGAGAGCAAAATATGACTATGGCATAATGGTCACATGGAAAAAATTACAGCTCTTGGAATATAAAAACTTCAAGATATTAAAGGATGTCAGTGGACCATTCTGGATTTTGTGGTGAATGACAAATTTCAAGTTTCTTCCCTGGAATCAGAATTCAGCATTTAAGTCTGGAGGTACATTTAGACCAATAGGTTTCCTCTCTATTTTTATTATAAGCCTACTCCATGTGCTTAACAAGCTCTGAAATGCCATGCATGAAATCACAGGAAATAAACTTGAACAAGAAATAAGGTATGTGTTGTTTCTAGACATACAAACAGAGGGGCAGGCAGATACACAAACAAGCAGAGAAATAGATACACATATATGCATGCAGCTGTGGACATGTCCAGCACTTAACACAATATTGCTTTTGTATTCCAGTTTCAATGTAATTTATTTTGTGACAAACAGAACATGTGTCAGGAATGGGTAGTGTGACTTATTGATCACTCTGTACAAACACAGCAGTCCACTACATACAAAATTTACAACCAGAACATGTTTACAATGCTTTTATGTGTTTCAGGGTTTGGATGCTTGAGGACACCTTTTCCAAAACCTACCTTAAAGCAGTGGCAAGTATGGTAGTTTCCCCAGCAATAACCCAGAAGACAGCAATCTTCAGACTCACCACTGTGAAAACCTCAAATCCTACAAATTATTAATTGATAAATGAATCCACACTAATACCAGCAATATAATATTGTTTTCTTTCCACTTGCATTATGGTTGCTCATTTAAAGACTTACACCGTTCTTCCCTTAAATTGTTTGCTACGGTTTCCATGGTAACAGTTCGAGAAAACGGTTCTCCGAAACGTAAATCTACTGTGAAACTTCGGATTTTGGATATGAACCACGTCGAATATTAAGTATTATCTACGTTTATACAAAAATTTCAGTTACCACTTTCAAGGTAAAAGTGGTGAGGCGAGTTTCCGGAGCCTTATGTGTAGGTGTTGAACATGGTTACCAGAACCTCTTTCTTTCACGTGTTCATGAAATAAATTCTGTTGAATAGCAGCCCGCTTCACCAATCAGCACTACAAAATCTTTGGGCCAAAACGGCATTCCGAAGAGGGTCCTGCGACACCTACCAAAGCCCACAATAAATATTCTCACGAAAGTGTTAAACGTAGTACTTCGATGGCAATACTCCCCACCAGCTACGTCCGGAAGTTACAAGTATTGTAATCGTAGGTGTGTTTGCATTCTGACTTAGGCACCCTGGTCAGCAGCAGACAATTCATAAGGATTTTACGATTCTGCTCTTTGCTGATTGCACTAACTGGGAGTTTAGGTTCAAAATTAGCTGATGCGGGAAACCGCGCATACCGTTTCGGAAACCTGGAACGCACGTGTCGACCAAAGGCTGACTTTGGACACCCACGAGTATCCGTGGATGACGTTCAGCACGTCTGTCGTGGTTGCCCTAAAACGGCAGCGATATTCAGCACAGAGGTTACAAGGGGAAATTCTTTGTGTATATGGCTTGAACCTATGTTGGCACAACTTACCAATATGTGAGGTTGGTATTTAGCTATACGTTGTAACCAATGATATCGTTTGTGAGTGGTTGGCACTTACTAGAAGTTTTCGGATATCGCTTGATCTCGATGTTTTCAGTATATGCTGAAAGAAACACATTGAAAATTCAGGAGTCTTTATCACAAACATAGTAATTAAAAATACTTTACGAATATTCACCAGCCCACATAGTTTATTGGTATCCGTGTGAGCTGGGTATCGCACGTATCATGTTGGTCGTGGGTCAGTTGTAGACGCGCTTGTGATGTGCAGATTACAGCTGTTTTGAGGCCTTTTACTTGCATAGTGTATTAGCTTTTGCATAAGATTAAGGTAAACGTTCTAGATTGAATTGGCATTATAATGATACGTTTGTTAGCCTTACTTTTAAATATGAAGACCTACCTAATAGTTTATAGAATTATTTAAAGTGACGTCATTCACACTTGTTTTAACAGATGATTTGCAGGCATTTCATGCGGTTTCTTCATTCTGGACAATCTTGGAATTCAGTAAACAAATCAGTCTTAGGAAAGCTTCGGAAGAAAACGGGGTACACGTTTGCCAACTGCAGAAAAGCTCTCGTACTATATGACAATGATATGGATAAGGTACAAATTAACCGCAGTTGTATCGGAAATATCTGTTCTTACTACTAATCTGCCAAAATCAGTCATGGTAGAAAAGTATATTAGAGACAATTTGTTGTAGGCAGAAAAGTGGTTACAAGAGCAGGCACAAGCTCTTGGGTGGTCCAAGGCAACAAAACTTGAAGGGCGACCAACAGCTCAAGGCCTGGTTGGAATAGCAGTAGATAAGAATATTGCAATCATAGTAGAAGTGAACTGTGAAACAGATTTTGTGGCCCGGAACAAGACTTTCCAAACATTGGTTGATTCTGTTGCCAATGCTTGTCTTAAGTTTGCTATCAGCAAACAGGATATAAGATCTTCATTTGTTAAGGTAATACGTTAAGTAATGTGCATATAAGGTGGGGCTCAGCAAGTATGTTGACCTTCTTTCTTATGCCTTTTCCACACTTGTGAATCATCTTTTACAAAGTAGTTGCTGGTTGTCTAACCATTGTTACATTTTAAACCGTGCTAGTCCATCCTTAGAGGAGGCTAGGGCTCGATTTTGGGCTGTTACGCCATAGTAGTAGTAGTAGTCCATCCTTAATATACTGCAGTTTCCCCACAATATACTGTTTGTCATAAACCATACATATAAATCGAGCAGTAATTTGAAGTTGGATTTTAAAATGATTAATCAAGTAGAGTACAGCATCCCAACCATAACATACAATGCTGATCCCACTTCAGGAAAATAATTTACATCAACTTAACCTGAAATAACCAGACTTTACATTTTTGCAGTATGCACCTTCACTGTTACTCTAACCCATTTTGCTTTATTAACATGTGTCTAAGCTTTCTCTTTGAACAAAACAATGACTTATCATCTAAAATTAATGTGATAAATGATTACCAGTATATTAAAACATGAATTGCCTGCAGATAGGGCTTGATTCAGAGCAGCTGAAATTGCTACCGGGTGAAGATGGGAAACTACTGTCTGACCACACAGCTCTATTAATGGGAAGTGTGGGAGAAAATATATTTCTACGTCGTGCCTACTGCTTCCAGGCCAATGAGGGCATTCTTGTAGCAGGGTACACACACCCTGCCCCACAAAATACAAACAAAGTACTGTTTGGAAAATATGGAGCCCTAGTCGCATTCAAGCAGACATTACCAGAAATTACTGAGCAGGAGACTGTGGTGAAGCTTCCACAGGATCAGCTTGGAAGGCTGTTTTGTCAGCACATTATAGGTAATCAGAGCACCACAGTATAATTTAACCTCATGAGCTTTGATTATAAAGAAGATTGTATTCCTTAAAGTACACTGAAATTCCATAAGTGTTCAGTATGGTATCATGTATCACTTTTTACTTGTTTCCTGTTGCTTCAGTGTGAATCCTGTGTTACACATTAAATTAAGGAATTTAGTTCATTTGTATATATGTTGCCAGGAATGAACCCAAGCAAGATTGGAGTAGAAGGTGAAGATGTCCCGACATGCAACTCTGATGAAGAGAAATGTATGATCTACCAGGAATATCTTTTGGATCCATCCCAAACAGTAGCACAATTTCTAGCAGATTCAGGTGTCTCGTTGGTTGACTTTGCAAGGTTTGAATGTGGGGAGGAAGTAGAACAGTGCAGTCTTAATGTGGCTGTTGAAGTTGAAGGTTAGTTACATTCATCCTGCCTGTTACAATAAATTAAGAGTTTCTAATGCCTATTTCAGTCTGTGGTTATCCAGTGCACAGTATTCCATATCAACATTTTATTTTCAATAAATTATTTAGAATTTTATTGTTTCTTTGTATTTAAATTGTTTTGAGCAAATGTTGCTGATAGCATAGTTTCTGTAATGTTACATTTTCTCAAGTACTGTACAACAGAAAATTATAGCAAATTATTGATTTTTATGCTTGTAAAATAAATTCATGTTATCAGTCTTTTGAAATTTCTTCAAGAAATTCATTGTACAATGTGGGTTAAAACTCAAATCAGTTAAGCATACCAAGTTCCAACTTGACTCTTCTGTCTCCTAGCTTTGCATAATGACATGCAACAGTCCTTCTTCTATATTGGTGACATGTTATCTGCAGAATAATGCCACCTGTGATAATTGATATTGTCTCGCCCAGACAGCTTCATTGTGTCTTGTTCAAGGATCCTGAAATATAAGTTGTTGGTATATTACTCTAGACAACCACAAAAGCAATGTGATGACATCATTACAACTGCGGTCTTGTCTTGTCACTGATGTTTCCAGTAGGCTGTAGATTTGGTTTTTGCACAACTTTTGTATAACTGTTGACCTGATGCATAGTGTAGACTGTTCATTTATCCAAAAAGAGCTACCAAGCCACTCTCCTTATCCTGTTTTGCATATTAAAATTATGACATTAATTAAAGGAGTTCGTTATCCATAAAATATTTTTATAAGTCTTCATGATTTCAGTTTCCATTGAAATGGTTTGAAGTCTGTAGCTCTAATAATGACAAGACTGGAAAAGTGTAATCATACCAGATTACACGCATGCATTCTTTGCAAATTCTCAATAATTAAAAAAAACATCCTTTATCTTAGTTAAACTTCTTTATTTTCCAACTATATAAATCAAGTGGTCTGACTGTCTTATTTAAGGAATTAAATCAACAGCAGTACATTAGAAATTTCATTAGGTTTGTGGCAGCAAACATGACTTGTACATGTGCGGTCACAGGATCAGATCCTGGTCAAGTTGAAATATTTTCTTTCATGGAACCATCATGTTATTTTACATTATATAAGAGATTACTTTTATAAAGCTTTGTATTTTTGAAAATCTGTGACCTTATGTCATTGTATAGTCCTGCTGCAAGTAGCACCGGTGTTGATCCCACATCACAAGTTTGTTTGTCTGCCGTGTTGATATTATCAATTGTAGGAAATTGAAAGGCATATTTTGGAGTAGTCACCAGTGTCTCAATGTCCATACCAAAATTTATTTTTTTGTGCTTATTTCTCCTACCTCCCATATACTTGTCTCCCTTTCCATCTTATTTGTCTGCCTTATCATCATTCTTCTCCACCTTTCTTCCTTTAACTCTTTCACACCTTTATTTCCTGCCCTCATTTCTCCCATGTTTCCTTCTGATCCTTTCCACATATCTCCATATACAAGGGGCGTATACAAATGATTTAGACTAACCTGAATTATGTGATCCTTGATGGTTGTGGCTCCCAGGTTACACTTCGGCCTGTTCCACATATTCTCCCTGGATGTTGATGCACTATTGTCATCTCTCTGGCAATTTCTGTATTTCCTCACGAAATCATTGTTTGGGGGTGTCTCATACCCACTCCCTGACAGCATCATCTAAGGCGTCACTATTGGGGAATCGGTGACCACGCAGGGGATTCTTCATCTCACGGAATAGGGCATAGTCACTTGGTTCCAGGTCGGGGGAATAGGGTGGGTGTGGGAGCACGGTGAACCCCAGTGACTGCACGTGCAAACTGTGTTCAGTTGGGTGACAGGCTTCGCATGTGACAACGAAACAGTGAGAAAGGGATCCAGCAGTGGTCGTCCCAGAACATCAAGAACTCCGCAAATGATTCAAAGAGTGTCCGAACTGATACCCTGCGTCGTCGCCGATTCCCCAATAGTGACGCCTTACATGATGCTGTCAGGGAGTGGGTATGAGACACCCCCAAACAATGGTTTTGTGAGGCAATACGGAAATTGCCAGAGAGATGACAACGGTGCATCGACCTACCGTAGCTTGACTGATGTCAGTGTGTTACAAATTCTGCAGATGTATTCGTGTTTCTATGGCCTAAATGTTATTAACAAATGAGATTCACAATTTTACAATTATTTTTGAATGTACAACTCATACGAGATGCTAAACGGTACTAAAAGTGGTTTGTACACATGTTTCGTATATGAATGTTTGTAAGATTTGAGGTTTTCACAGCGGTGAGTATGGAGATTTCTATCTTCTGGGTTGTTGCACTGTGTAGTCTGGTTGATGTTAACCAACGTTTTAGAGGTCATACTGCCTCCGTCATCAGGGCGATAATGTTTTTCATTATATGACGTCGTCACGCATCCAATGGGGTCAATGTTACAGTCCCTTAAAGGGGATGATAAACTGGAAAACGACAAGGTTAAATATTATGAATGCACATTCCTTGGGTTCAAACCGTGATGGAGAACATACGATCACTCAGGATTATTGCGTGAGTTAGAAACAAAGGAACTTGCATCTAGCTGGCAAACCACAGTCTGCATGTTGGAAGTAGCCAAGTTGAAATGACCTGGTTGTCAGTTGGATGGAGAAGTTAATATCAATATTTTACCGCAGGTTCCAATCTTATATGAATGGCTTTTACAGTTATTCATTTCAGGTCTCACCAAGCTCTTGCTGACTGACTACTGTATTTATCGCTCAAGTGAGAATGCACTTAATGCCACTGAACAATATAAGTAAATACAGCAGCTTGTAAATTTATACAATATAATTAAACAATGTATAGGCATTTGCCTATATATGGGAACATTTAAAGACGTTGCTTTAAAGTCATACGGCAGGTCGCCAAGGAGATAGCCATTTGAGGTGTAGGTTTGTCCTTGGTTGTAATAAACATTGTGTTCATTGGGCGAATTGTATGGTTTAGTGCAGGGTGGTCCAACTATTTTCCTCCCTCGGGCCAGAATAGTTTTTCTGTTGGACCCAATGGCCAAGAATCCCTACTGTCACTATTTTTGCATTGTCGTTATCTTTAATAATACTTACAGAAATGACAAATTACCATTGCATTGCTGAAACAAAATGTATTTAAATGTGCAGAAACCACTATAGAATTGTATAGTATTTTAAATTTGCTCCTGTAACAGCTTGTATCTCTCACAATATTTACTTGAAAAATTACACAAATTATTTGAACAATTTATACCAGTAGAACGTAAATTTTATTCTTTTAAAGTCAGTGGCCGGATTATAAGTGGTCGCGGGCCTACAGTTGGATCACGCTAGTTTAATCTATGATTTCTTGTAATTATGCCTGAGTATTAAAGGTTCATTTGGACATGCCTGTAATTACGATACCTGCTCCAGGGCCTCGTCGTTTCTCCATAGAAGATTTCTGGAGTACTAGTGGAAGTGGGGGGAATCACACTGTCTTGAGTCAATGCTGACACCGTAATTGTCTTCCAAACTATTTGAATTGAGCACGCTCTGTTCACAATTACATCAAAAAATTCTGTAAAGCGCATTGTTCGACGAAGTAGTTGTGAAGGCGACTCGAAAGATCAGGTACTGAGATACCGTCAGGAAACTGAACCAATGGACGCTAGGGCCATCCCTATCCGAGACCTGCGGACCAAAGTGGACGAGGCTGCGAATTTAAATGAAATACAAAGGGAAAAACTATTTAACTTGCTCTTAAAATACCAGAATTCCATTACGACGACACCGGGAAAATGCAAGAATTTTTCTTATAACTTTGAAGTAGACCAATACCCTTCTCCGTGAGGAACGAGGTCCGAGCGCAGCAATTTTCGCGAAACTCCTATCAAAGTCAACAGACGAGGTACCGCCTACTGAAAGTCTTCAGAGCAAGGTCCTCAAAGCTTACGTCAAAATGAAGCATAAGGGTGCAAAAAGAAACAAAAGACGCAAATTTGGAAAGACTGACTGGAACCCGCAGATTAACGACTTAGTGTTAGCGAAGCGCCAGCCTGTGTCGGATGCGGCGGGGGGGGGGGGGGGGA